CAGTATTGACTTGCCCCCCTTCCTCCTTACAATCCTCTGCCAACTCATTTGGGACGCAGACTTGCATTTCCCATCCAACAGAGTGTTCCTTTTAACAGACCGCGGTAAATGGATCAAGCAGTGATGCGTGCGATTGTCCTCGTTTAGTGCGTCCATTCCAACGGGATGCCATAAATACCAACTCCCACAGAATCACACTCACACCTACGCGAATGATTGACATTCAGCGCGACTGTAGAATACAACCTCTTTGAAATTGGATATACTTATTGAAAACAAGCCTACAAAATAAACCACCTTGGAACAATGCTGTCCTTGAATACTTTTTAATAGCCTTTAATTTTGCATAATTTATTTATCAACTTGTATGACTTTTTAAGACCCGCAGACCCATGAAACACATAATATATGTTCTGCTTAGCATTCAGGGGCTCATTGGAAAAAGAAAGGTTCCTGGACTACCCTGATCTACGGAAGAGGTAACCATACCTTGTCAACCAGTTTGGACTTTTGAACACTTTTAAAAACCATTTTGATGATTATTCTGTTTAAGGCTACAGGAACTTTTTAAACAGCTTTTTTCTCCACCCGTGCTGGCACGTTAAAGTGGAGAAAAAGTACAGCAGCAAAAAACCACCATCTAAAGGATGGGTACGAGCCCGGTTTAAACGGGCCCGGGGCCTGAAATTATTAAAAGACCGTGGCACCGCTAAGCACTCCGACGTTACCTGTATTTTTTCCAGTACTGGAGACATTTAAAAAATATAGTGGTCCATCGTGGCGTATTCATTACTGGACAACTAACACATTATACTTGCAGGTTGTGTTAGTCGTCGCCCAGCTCCCTTTCCTACACATCCCGCAAAAAGACAACGACAAATGCGTCTATGATTATTTTCGATATTTCCAATCCAGACGAGAGATCTCTCTCTCCCCCGTCTGTGTGCGAGGGGGCGAGGCGCACACACACACACACACACACACACACACACACACACACACACACACGCACACGCATACGCACACGCACACGCACACGCACACAGCCTTTTTTATTGATTCATGGCATTGGAGGAGATAGCGAGGAGAACTAAGCGCTCCGAGGTGTGGTTAAACTTTACCCGTCTCGATGTGGACAATGTTCGTTACCAAAAGTGCAATAAGAGTTTAGCATGTAAGGGCGGTAACACGAGCAATTTGTTAAAAACATTTAGCAAAAGTGCACCACATTCAGACGGAGAAATGCACCGGGTTCGACTGTCTTTCTAGTAGCTCTGTAGCCCCATCCACGAGTAACGTTTCCACGTCAGGTGTTATGTATGCAAGCAGCAACACACAGAGTTAACTACATTATACAAACATGGGTTGATGATTAGAGGTAACCGAGTTATTTATTTTGTTAAAGTTTCAGCTATTCTGTTTACAGTTCTGTCATCAGATTATTTAATACGATTTGTTAAAACACTGTTGTTTCTTTTGATATGAAATATTATTTATTTAATTTATTTTGTTTGGTTAATTTACTTTTTTTGTTTGTTTTAAAGAACCGATAATAATACCGTTAAAGGGCCGGATCGATAAGCGGTATCGATAAAAGTAGTAGTACCGTTAAAACCTTAACGATACAACATCTAATGCAATCAATGTGTGAAAATACATTTGGGTTTTTCAATTGCTCTCGTTCTCTGTAGGAAAAAACACCTTCCCTAAATCAATGATATCTCAACAATGTCATCACCTGTTTTAAACATGACAGATTCGACATGCAACACTTATTCAATTGCATATTCAGACACATAGAAAAGACTTCTGGGAAATGTAGGAAACAACATACAAAAGTAAAAGTAGAAGCAGCAGCTTGACAGAAATGTAGGATCATCAAAAAAAGCAAATAACTAATATAGCAAAGCTTGAATGTATTAAAAAGTATATTATTATATCGCTTCTTCAATGCTATTCAATACTGAACGCCTGTGATGTTAAGGCGTCTTACCGATCTCACTGCAGCCAGTATATTTATCACCGTGCCCTCCAGCCTCTGCCCGTTGGCCACGATGTCTCCCAGAGAGTAGAAATCCCCGGGGTCTTTCACTGGGAGGTGGATCAGAGGTAGCAGCCGCTCGATGGTGCCCGTATCGGCACACAGAGACACCTGGGAGTGAACCTCTGTCACCATCAGCCTGTAGAAGCTAACAGAGCAGACACAGGCCTTTTGAACACCATCATCACACAGTTACATCATGTTTTACACAGCATTACACTGGGTTGTATATTAACATTATTACCCTCCGGCTGTTAAAAGCTCCAGAGAGTGACCATGAAAGAATCCTCTATGGAATCTGTATTAAAAAGTGATAATTACCTAGGTGTTGTGGGACAGAATTTGTCCCCTTTCTCCGGGTCTTTGCTGGAAACTAAAGGATTTTCAACAATGACTGGAAAAAATGATGAGAAAAAAGTCATTCACATTAGTTTTATGTTTTTGTATTAGATTTAAAGTTTTTAGGCATTTTTAAAAGTATGTTATTGCTACAATTTGTATTATATCAAGACATTTTTGCGTAGCTTGATTTGTATTCTACAAGTAAAGACATATCAAAAGCTGGCATGACCAAAGCTTAATTTTTACTACGACTAAATAAAAGAAAAACAAGATATAAGCACTTGTGTTGCATCCCATAAAATACATTTCTATTTGCCAAAATCCATTCATTTTTAGGAACTCTTCAAGCTTTGGGTCTTTGACAGTGACTTCCTCACCACAGTCTCCAGTGCTGAAGCTGTTGGAGAGCCCGTTGACGTACAAGTCGTTCCCCCATGCCGTGACATTAACGAAGAAGTCAGGCGAGTCCTTGATAGTGAAACCAAACGTGAATCTTTCCACACCGATATCTGAAATTCGGATAGGTTCAGTTAGTGTTCAATCCAGTTAGATGGGAAAGACATGGAGAAAAAAAAGCTTCCAGAAGAGGGGGCTGGTGTACAACACAATGAGGTGCACTGATGTTAGGAGAGTGTGACATTGAAATTAAATCTAAACTAATATGACAAAAAAAAATACTAACTTTTTCTGTCAGGGAAGCTTTTGACATCAGATTTCCCAATGACGATGCCTGCCACTTTCTGAAAAATATTTAAAAGACAATGAAAATTACAATATTGGATATTTTAATCAGTGGTCAGTTAACAAAACTAATTCAGAAAAACAGGCCACAAATATCCATAATTTAAGACAATTTTCCATGGCGTTTACACACTGGTTTTGTTTAAAGGGATATTGTAGAAACACATAGATATGAAATAGCTGTATATCTAAACTCACCGGATGAGAGAGGTTGGGATGCAGCTCAGAGATGGCAATGAACGTCTGAGCAGCCATTTTATCAAATCATCACTTAAATCCAGTCCAGTTTTTAATATATTTACAGTCACTGTAATGAGGTAAAACAAATAAAACAATACAAGGTGAAAGTTGTGGTTTAATTCCAACTAGAACAAAGCTATTAAAGCATTTCTCAATTTCTAACATGGCCTTATTCTGACTATTAAAACAAACAGACAGCAGTTACTTGCTAAGTTTTGTTAAGTAGTTAGCTAGCAAGGCTAGTAAAGTTAACATTAACAGTGACTTGTTCACTCTTATCACACCTCTAAATTACCTGAGGGTTTTAACTAAGTCTGAATTTAATATTTAGAATATTTTTAGCTTAGTTTCAGTTATACCTAAGACCTTTTTTATTTTTTAATTCGTCTTTTCTCTTTGACTTTACCTGCTTTGTTTTCCCAAACGGTTATTTGTGTATCGCGGCAAAACTGTTGCACGGCACGCGACGGAATCTGCAGATGCTGCGTTCAAATGCAGGCGGTAGAAAATCGTAATTTCACGTTGTATTCATCTAGGAAAAATGTACTGTTCATTTTTTTTTTCACTGTTTGTACATATTGGCTGTTTATGTTTATTTTGTATCTAATTGTATTTTCAATTCATCTGCAATGCATCTACAATTAGTTTTCTCCCAAATTGGGATTAATACAAGTATTCTTATCTCCTCTTAACCAAAAATCATCATCAATCTTTTATTAGGAGCTAGTAAATGTTGCAAAAAGTCTGAAATCAACACTTCATAACAAAATATGAAGTCACTTCCATCTCCACTTTATTACCATTAATTACTATTATTTACTGATTAACCACCTATAACTACTGTATAAAGTTTATGCATCTCTTTTGTGATGACAAGAGACCTGCATTCATCCAATGTTTTGTTAGACTTTAGGTGATGTTGCCTTGGATCAAATCCACAATTTCAACACACATTCAGTACAGTAAACATTATGAACAGCTGCGCAAACATGCAGGAAATGAGATTGAACAATACAACTGCCATCACTGATAGACCAATTAATTGGAAGCTGTCACTTACACACATTCACATCACAGAGACACACATCATATATGTGAGTCATCTCTTTAAAAGTCTCTTCTTTGATAGGTTTCATTGCACCTAAGACTAAGATATCATGCACCTTTATAATCCACCCCTGTCACCATCCACAGCATGGGATTTATTCTCAGACGGATTTGCTGAGCTGAATTTGACAGTTTCCTGGTTTGTTTTGATGACACAAAGCTGTATTTGACATGTGATACTGTCTCACACACCGAAGCAGGAATCAAAAGGTGTAACAGTAAACCCTTATTTAGCTTCGCTTAGCCTTGTACCTCTTCCCTGGTGACTAATCCCTGTGGTTTGGATATCTCATCCCTGTGACTAATGTTGTTTTTCAGGCAGTAATATGTCTGGTGATATAATTCTTCGGTCAATGTGTTTTTAATCGCTGAGAGGAAAAAGTGCAGTAGCAGCTATAAAGGTTTTCTCAGCACAATAACAGAACAGATTAATCCCCAACAGACAGTCTGGTGTGTTACGTTTCATCGATGTATTGACAGACTTTGAATAATGTTGTATAATGTGAACTGATTAAGTACATGGTAGCTAGGCAGAGGCATCGATTTTTTATTTGCACCGGTGCATGGCTATTCAAATTATACCAAATTTCAAATTCTAATTTCATTAGCTTTTTCTCACTACAGTTTGTGAGTCCATTAATCACAGCAGCACTGTAAAGCATCATCAGATAAATCAAGTTACTTTTGCTTCAGTGATTCATCCATAATGAATTCATGGCCTCATTTTATCTGTCATCAATCATGCCTTTTCTTCCGATATTTGGTTGGGTTTTTCCAAATGATTTGAATAAACCGTTTGAATTTCTTTATGATAAGCAGACATCAGCATTGCTTGTCGCTTCTGATGGTGTGACTTTATTCAGGGCCTTTACAGGAAGTAACTGCGCGGCTTCAAACATAGGCACTGCAGGAATCTGTTGGGATTGGATGGCCTTTTTTCTAGTGCAGGTCGGCTCCCTGGAGGGCCTGCAGCTGTCTGACCACTGCCCGGCTATTAATCTATCATGTGTGTGTGTGTGTGTGTGTGTGTGTGTGTGTGTGTGTGTGTGTGTGTGTGTGTGTGTGTGTGTGTGTGTGTGTGTTCTGCCCTTATGCATACCAGTGCATATACAGTGTGTAGATCTACCATGTTCATTAACACATGTATTATAAACACAGTGCTGTTTTTTCAGTCTCAACCGTAAATGAGGCTAGTATAATGACTGCAATCAGAACCGACTTTTTGCAGGTGTAACGCTCAAATACCGGGTAATTAAAGTGTACAATAACACACCTTGTTAAGCTGACTGTGTGAAGCAATGCAACCTGTCCATCTTGACTAAACTAAGCAGTTTACTGGGCTGTTCTTCTCTGGGAATTCATTATGTTGCCACTGATACATCAATCAATGTCTTGTTATACATTTGCTGCTTCTTAAGAAAACTGCAATTCAGCACTATACACACTGGGAATAATAACACAAACTTCATCTGGACTACAGAGGCTCATGCCAGACATTGAAACGCAACATTCGTAAAAAATGTCATTAAGAATGTGACCATTTTAATTGCTTGAAGAAACCCTATTATGCTTTTTGGGGTTCTCCGTTTCTCGCAGTGTGTGGTTTTGGTAAACATGTCACAGTAGAGGCACAAAATACAATAATGAAACCTTAAAAAAATAGCATAATAGGGCCCCTTTAAGCTCTCTTTTTACTTGTGCTATATGCTAAATAGGATTTTTCCATAATAGCAATTTAGCACATAATGCACTGATATGCATAACTACCATGTCATACCGGAACAGTTAAATTAGCCCCACCTCAACATTTAAAGCTGTTTTCATATGCATGCATCAGTAGTAAAACCCTTCCCTATAATCTAATAATATAAAAAATATCATAAAATACTGACCGAAGCCATCCTGTATCATCCTTTTAAGACTTTAAGAGAACTATGCTCATGGTACCTATATTCTTTTACTTTTTAATGCATCAATTTCACTCATAAAGGAGTATTTTTACATTGTGGTCTTACCAGTAAAAAAAAATGAATACTTCCTCCACTGCTGTTCATATTTAGCGAATGTCCACCGGACCTCCATGAGGGCACCAGACAGGATATCTGTGGTTCAGCTGCACTTCGCTGTGTAAAACAAGAGAGGAGAAGAGGAAGCAGAGACAGCTCAGATGCATGGCAACACAGAGCTAAGTCTTTTTACATCTGCAGGGATGGCAAGGAAGTGACAGCTACATATTTCCGCCAAATTTACTTTCTGTGTGTTCCTTCTTTGTCTAAAAAAACGACGCCAGAGACTCATGTTTTCATCTAAATGATCATTTCTGATCCGGAACTGGTGTTTACACTATATCCACATGTGATGTCCCAAATAAACTCCAACAGGAAGTGGGTATTTAGTCGTAGTATTTCGCTTGGTGGACCAAAGGGATTCAGTTTGCACACACACATAGACAAAAGAGCTATTGTTGATAATGAAACACGTTTTTTTAAATGGTACCAATCATCATTATTTGATTGAAACCCAACCATTAAAACAAATCATTCTGAACGGTGAGCAATATCTTGGCACGGTCTACATCCAAGTATAGCTTTAACAGTGGTTGGCAGCAGTTTGGCAGTCTTTATTGGCTTCAAGAAGTGGAAGACGTCCAAGTATCTACACTGTAATTTCCCTGCCACCTGTGTGACTAACTGCACTGTAAAGCTGTCGCACCGCAGAGTCTGCACACAGCCATTGAATCCAGCTGGGCTCCGGTCGAACAATGCCGTCGGTTTTCTCATCTCCGTGTCCAGAAAGAGGAGGGTGGGTGCATGACTGTGGAGGGAAACCTTAAATGATGTTAATAACGTGCTGTTGAAAAGCTGCACCAGGACAGAAATCAGTGGCATGCATGATGTCATCTCCAATTATTACTGTATGCCACCATATTGAGGTAATGGGAGGAATACTGAGGCCAAGTTGTTGCCATGATTCTCTGTAAGCGAGGCAGGAAACATTACATTACATGACATAAAATTAAACGAGGGGAAAGCGACGTTTCTGTTGCAAAACATGACTAAAATGAAACAACTCTTTTCAGTTTGTTTCACAGTGAACATTCCCACGCTGTTACTGAATGTAAAAAGGAATTATGTTTCAGTGTAGCTTGTGGTTTAAGCGCTTTTATTTCATTGTCAACACAAAACAGGTACCACCACTTACACGCCCGACTGAGGCATGATTTTTACCTTCCTGTTGTCTGGCTTCTACATTTAATCCAAATGTGGTGTCCTTGTATCGGTAAGAATGAAAGGGGGTATGGGCGGATAGGTTCAGTATGTGGCACTGCTTCTCAAACCCAACAAAGGAGATGGAGGAGCGGCTCATAGCTGGGAATCAATCAATTGTAGATGTGTTGAAAAAGCTCCAGAAAGACAATTATTGCTATTTGATGTAAGTGTAATGGGCAAATTATTTAATAGCTGTCAACATGTTTACTCTAGACAAAATTGATTGACTGTGGATCTTTTTTTTTCAAATCTATGTTGTTTTTAATATATTTTACTCAGCTTCCAATGCTATTATGTTCTGATCTGAATATGGAACATGATGTATGTTATGGGATGTTTTTTGACAACAGCATATAAGATTGTTTGTGTGAAAATGAGCGTGCAATGCATATTCTGATCCACGCTATGTGTTTTTACATATGTGCATACATAGTTTCCAGTATTTAGTCACAGCGGAAACCACACAATGAAAAACGTATTATCCACTCAAAATCCGGCCTGATGTGAAGTTACCCAGAGACGTTTGTTTTCAACCATTCATCATTTCACCTACATCAAAGCCTCACAAACGTCTTCAAACATTCACAGTTTAGGTAGTTCCCCTGAAAACCTCAGATAGAAACTCTCTTTTTCTTCAAA